GAAAGATTTACGCGCCTTTTTGCAGTTTCACACCACGTTTCACGCAACGCAATGGATGATGGGCGTGCTTGGAAATACTCCTTCTGAGGAGGTTGGAAAACACACAAGGACATGAGGAAAACAGACAGTAAAGACGCATGTCCTATCATGAGCCTTCCACGAATTGAGCCATAGAGGCAAACGTGTGAACGAAAAAAATAAAATCGATCACAACGACGACGCGCTGGCTGGCTCGATTCAGGAAGGAAATAAATAATACACGATGCCTTGGAGGCTTCTCCTTGGTCTGCGGTAACACACGATTCAACGCAGCACGGATGGATTTAAGGTAAAGCACTAGTTGTTGACTGAAAATCTGAATCTGGTATGGTCTGAATTAGTTTTGTCCATTTGCTGTCAAACGGCATCAAAGGTCAAAATCACTAATGAACACAACCCGAGCAGGAACGAATACCTTGATACCTTAAATTGGTATGGATAAGCCTGACATTGAAGGTAAAAAACCATGAATAGTACCAAAAATGTTCTCACAATATCATTGCAATATTAAGCAAACGCAATACTAAAACATTACCACCTAGGTATTATGTTGATATCCAAATATCAATTTTTGTTATTTGCAAAGTATCCTGCATGCATTTTTCTGGTGTTATTCCTTGGTATTTTACCTCCTATGTCAGGCTGATCAACGCCAAATTATGGTATCAGAAACAAAATTAGGTATTCACAAATTATTTTCTCCTGCTCGGGAAACCATTTTATGTATTTGTTTGATTATTTAAACTGAGCGGTTTTCATACATTATCAAAAAACTGTTTTCTAATGTATATTCGAGACGTTAACTCAGGAGATAGGCAAATTTGTTATAAAAAAATCAGTTTATCGCACAGTATAACAGATTACACATATCTCAAATTAATTATCAATAGATTAATGTAAACCGTGAGATTGTGATCGACGGAGTATTATTTATACTATTCATGCTATGGGTGAACTACATTCTAAGGTTTGCTTCTTGTCGAACATGATTTTTCAAGATCATTCAGCACTGCAGTGAAAATGAATTCCATGGCGAAAAAAATCATCCATATAGTCATACATAACACATTCACGAAGCTTCCACTATCTGACAGTATTGTAAATATTTTACAACAGTAACGATGATTACCGGAAGCATGCCTTGCCAATCTATTACATCGAGGCAATGCAAAAGGAATGGATGGCCCCGGTTGCAGATAGCACGAGCCATTAAATGGAAAATATGGGTACATACAGAAGACCAGACACAGACATTCTCCTGCAGAGCGGCCCTACAGGAATGTATGTAGGCCCATAGCGATTGTGATATGTTTCAACTGTCTGTTTGATTGCGTGGCAATTTCCGTTTCCTCGTGATTTGAGTTCACATGTCGATATCGAATAGAGTTTGATTTTATGATTGGGTGATTGCTTGATGAGGAATACTGCACATTGCGACAATAGCGACCCATTTCCGTTTTTCTAAAGGTTAACTTCAAGAATTTTCTGTTTGAACTGAGGTCCTTTTCGGGGTTACCAGCCAGGTTTCCAATGATTACGGTGCTGCGTAGTTTGAGGTTACAGCAACCATTTCCACAATTGTTTCTTGCAAAACTTTTCAAAACGTCCAATTGATCGATTGTATACATCGACTTTCCCTTCCCCATAAAAAATATCAAGCATTGTTCATAGAGCCAAATTTAAAACAACCCTTTGTACAGGATTTCCAAATTGCTTGCATTATCAAAATGAGTTATTATTTTGGTTCATGGAACGGAACAAAAAAGGATAAATTAGTGATAGATTTTGTTTTCAGCATCTATTTTTTCTAATCCGTATCTATTTTTTTAATGTCCATAAGATAACTTAATGTACTCAAGAAACGATACTGTTGCCTTTTTTTATAATTAATTAAAAATGTTTCAAGTTTGCATAAGTAATTAAGCGTTTATTCCCTACTTTTTTTTTAATAATTTGTTTATTTTTCCAGGCTCATTTGCTGTAGCTTTGCGGAGCCGATATTAATTGTTTAGATAACAAAATGACTTAAAACTAACGTTAGTAAAGCGGGGGCCGATTACTCGCGGCAAAATTCCCTACTTCTAAACAACAAAATAAATTTGAAATGCATTAGAACTATGTGTCAAAACACGGTTGAAACTAATAATTAGCCGAGCCAGTATTGGCGCGTTATAATAGAGCATACAAAGCTTGGAGCAATAGCTCCAGGAAAAAAAACATGAGGCAGTTTCATCCTTTTGGTTTGTTTTTTCCGTCGATCTTGTTTTCCGTACTGAGCACCAATGCTACCGACGTGCCAGGAAGGCAGCTCCCACACCTGGACCCTACCTATCGACCCATCAACTCATGAACCGGGGACCAACGGCTTTACTTCCCATCCGAAGGAAGGCGTGATCAGAGATGTTATGCCTCAGAACATCCCGGCGGCGCCGACTGGGATTGAACCCAGACCTGCTGGGGTGAGAGGTAATCACGCTTACCACTACACCACCGGTGCCGTTTGAGGCAGTTTCATGCTTATCAGGAAGATTGCGAGAGCCTTTCAGAAGTTTCAAAAATTGAAGAAAGTCAAAAATTAAAATAAGAAACTTTCCAGAAGTTGTGAGAAATCGATGAATGTTTTGGGATATTTTCGGCAGCTTCATTAATTTCAAAGCAAATCCAGAAACATTATCAGAAGAGTAGTTAGAACTTCAGGAAAATTTAGAAAACGTCCTGGTGAGTCTCAAAAAACGTAAGAAGAAGTTCAATGGAATGAAAGGAAATAGTGTGCATATTGGTGAAGTTTTCCGAATAGCCTGGGTTATTATAAGGGAACTATTATAATAATTAATCTGAGCCACGAAAGTGTCGACTCGGCAACCGCCTTTCCGAAGCCAGCTTTACCGGAGCTCGTCAACTCTCTGACTCAATGGAATATGAATGGGTTTCTCCAGCACGATATTGACCAGCCTGTTAACCCGAGTGGCAGTCAAAACCGTGACAACGCCGAGTCTACCATCTTGTACCCCACGCCTGCACTGCCCAAGCCGGTGAACCTTGTTCTCCAGTGGAATATAAACGGATTCCATGGCCGCCTAGGGGAATTGGAGCTCCTCTGCCAAAGCGATGCCCCCTGGATAATCGCTCTACAAGAGGTCAACAAAGTCACAACCGACCAACTCAATCGTTCGCTGGGAGGGAGATACGATTCCACACGAAGTTCTTGACCTCCAAACTGACCTGACAATCGTCGGCGTCCGCCTTAAGAACGCCGCTAACTTAGGTATCGGCTGTGCGTACCTGCCCTGCGGACGGATAGCCAATCTGGATAGAGACTTAAGTGCAGTTATTTCCAAGTTTCCGGAACCGCGGCTTTTCATCGGTGACATCAACGGGCACCATCCGGGCTGGGGCAGCCCTCGCCCAGATCCCAGAGGTTCTATCCTGGCGAGCATTTTTGAGAGAGAGGACTTGGTGGTGCTGAACGATGGCGCTCCCACCTTTTTTAATGGACGGCACACCACCGCGATCGACATTGCCACTGCCAGCCGATCTATAGTGGAAAGGGCACAGTGGAATATTAGTACCGACCTGCACGGTAGTGACCACTACACGATCCGCATACAGCTTTCCGTAGGTGCGGTTCCCCCAACGACACGGAGACTCAGGTGGCGCTTCGAGGAAGCCGACTGGGACGCCTTCAGGGAGAAATCCGACGCTCTCTTTCAGCAACGCGAACCGAACGACATCTCCAGCTTCACGGAAGTACTCTACGACGCTGCAACACTATCCATCCCAAGGACTAGTAGCGTACCCGGGCGAAAAGCCCTACGTTGGTGGAACGAGGATACCAAATGTGCGGAAAAAGCGCGACGCAAAGCCTTACGCCGGCTTGAGCGCCTAGCCTTAGACGATCCTGGTAGGGAGGAAGCGCTGAAGGTCTACAGAGAACGCCATCTCTCGTGCAGACAGGTGATCCGTGACGCAAAGCGATCCAGCTGGATGGATTTCCTGGATTCAATCGACGAATCCCAATCGTCGAGCGACTTGTGGAATCGCGTCAACGCTCTGAGTGGCAAGCGGCGGTCTACTCCACCTACTATCCAAGCTCATGGCACCAAGATTTCAGAACCGAAGGACATCGCTGACAATTTAGGGAACTATTTTGCCGGCCTGTCCGCTGTCAGTGGCTACGACAGCGATTTCGTCCAGCGCGTCAAACCTTCCACAAGCAGCATTCGTGACCTGTGAATTCCACCCGATGTCCCTTCCCTCCAGATCAACGATGCTCTTACCTTCCGGGAGCTTCAGTTTGCCCTCGGCAACAGTACAGGTAAATCTGCCGGGCCGGACGAGATTGGATACCCGGTGTTAAAAAACCTCTCCCTCGACGGAAAAACGAGGCTACTCGCCCACTTCAACGACCTATGGCTCACTGACTCGTATCCGGACCTCTGGAAACAAAGCCTGGTAGTGCCCATTCTGAAGAACAACGCGGCGAGTGGAGAAGCCTCCTCCTTTAGGCCGATTGCACTCACTTGCTGCGCGGCAAAAGTGATGGAGAGAATGGTAAATCGTCGACTTAGGCAGTTCCTGGAGTCTAACAGTCTCCTTGACGAACGGCAACATGCATTCCGGCAAGGACATGGCTCCTCCACTTACTTTGCAGCCCTCGGGAATGTACTCAAGGAAGCCCAGGACAACGGTCACCATGCGGAGTTAGTATCCCTTGATATTTCTAAGGCGTTCAACAGGACGTGGACAGCTGGCGTCATCAGGCAGCTCATCGGCTGGGGCCTGAAAGGCCACATCACGCACTTTGTACGGAATTTCCTCCTTAATCGTACCTTCCAGGTGACGGGAACACTCGACGGGAACACTCGACGGGAACACTCGGGAACACTCGATCGGATCCGTTCCCCGAGGAAACTGGAGTGCCCCAGGGATCCGTCATAGCGGTTACGCTATTCCTGGTGGCAATGAACGGGGTGTTCAGCCGACTGCCCAAGAATGTGCACGTAATCGTCTATGCCGATGACATACTCATCGTCGTAACGGGACGAACGACTAAACGGACCAGGAATATTGCCCAAGCAGCTGTCTCCGCCGTCTGCAGGTGGGCGCTTTCTGTTGGTTTCCAGCTCTCCGCTCCAAAGAGTGTACGGTGCCATATCTGCCACTCGGGCCATCTGATTCGGGGACCACCGATCACCATCCAGGACCATCCAATTTCGCTTAAGAAAACATTACGTGTTCTGGGGGTAGTTCTGGATCGGACTCTAAGTTTCAACCAGCACTTCAGATCGGTGAAAGAAAACTGTCGTAGCCGCATCAACATCGTCAGGACAATCTCCCGCCCACACCGCTCCAGTAACCGCGAGATCCGCCTTCGTGTCGCCCGGGCTGTTATCGACAGTCGACTTTTCTACGGCATTGAAATTACCTGCTTAGCCACCGAGAAGCTGAACCGCATCCTCGCTCCGGTATACAATACCTACGTACGCATCGTATCCGGCCTTCTACCTTCCACGCCTGCAGACGCTGCTTGTGCGGAAACCGGAGTCCTCCCTTTCCGCTATCGATCTGCTGCAGCTACTGCTACGAAAGCCGCTGTCCTCGCTGCTAAGACATCCGGGAATGATAGGGTCTTTCTCCTCAACGAGGGGAACAGAGCCCTCCGCACTGCAGCCAACCTTGACCGACCCCCGGTGGCCAGGGTCCACTGGCATGGAGAGAAAAGTTGGCGATCTAACGTTATCCAAATAGATAAGCGGATTAAGAGAGGATTCCAAGCCGGAGATAACTCTGTAGCAAAGTTAAAGTCTACCGGAGGAGTGTTCCGTTTTTTCCGCAGAAGCCGCTGCTATTCTTGATGCAGCCATCACTCCTGCAGATCAACCGATCCTTGTGGTAACGGACTCACACAGCGTCATCCAGGCGCTGGAAGCCGAAGCCCCGAGCCACCCGTGGATACAAGCCATTACACGATATGCCCCACCCTCAACCGTTTTTACGTGGATTCCCGGGCACTGCGGTGTTCCTGGAAATGAGGCTGCGGACAGGTTGGCGGGATCCGGTCCATCTGGTCCCCGCTTCACCAGGAACGTACCACTCCTAGACGTCAAGCGTTGGATCGCGAATATTATCATGGAAGCCTGGCAGGAGGAATGGTTTCAGTCGCGGACCACTTTGCTGAGAAAGATCAAAGAAACCGTACGACCCTGGCTAGATAGCCACAAGTACAAGGACCAATGTGGACGTGCTGTGTGTCTGCCCAGAGTTTCAGAGGCTACGCGAACAACACCGACGCCCAGAGAACATCAGGGAGCTACTTGGCAACGATTATTGCTTTCTTGAAGGACGCCCACCTGTACAACCAAATCTAGCACTCTAGTCGTTGGCTGCGCTGTTTGTGTTCTTCCACCTTCCAATTTTCCTGCCGTCGGGGTATCTCTGCCGGACTGGGGCACTGTCTCTTACGGTGGAGCTCTACCTTGTTCGCGCATCCATTCCTCACCACAGTCCCGATGTAACTCCCATTTTACTTTAAGCTTTTTTTTAATGTTGTCTCAGAGCCAGTTTTACGTTACGTTAATGTTAGACTGAAACGTTTCCTTAGAGGCAGGCCCTAAGCCTGACCTTCTACTATCAGATGTGATGAACTAGCCTACGGCTAAAATCCCAAAAAATAAAGAAAAAAAATATTATAATATTTCAGGCTCTTCAGGGAAGCTTCTTGAACTTTAAGGTGATCCCATCAGCTTCTAAGAAGTTCCATGAACTTCAGGGATATCAATTTTTTTTAGAGAAGTCAAGAAAACTTCCAAGATGTTCAGAGAAGTTGAGGAAAATTCTGAAACTTTAAAGAAGTTGCAGAAGCCTCATTGAAAGTAGGTCTAGAAATCTTCAGGGAAGCTCACAGATCTTGAGGACAGTCCCAGTAACTATAGGACAGTCCAGATCTGTTAAGGTTAGTTTCTATAAATTCAAGACATTTTAACGAGCTTCTGGACAGTTTGAGAAGTTTCTAGAATATCAGAGAGATCCAGGGACCTCCTGAAAAGTTATGAAATATTCAGACATATTTTGGAACAGAAGTCCAGAGTTTTTCTGAAGTTTAATTATTTCGATTTATTTCACGGTAGTATCTAAAATTTTAGAAGAATTGCGAGAACTTCAGGGTAGCTTTACGAGAACCGCAGGGAAAAGCAGATAACCTCTGGGCAGTTATTTACTTCAAAGACATTTCAAAAAACTTCAGTGAAGTTCCCAAGCAACACATTTTATCATAATCGGGTTTACCTTTTGCTGTCAATATTGGCAGTTCAGCTCGTGCCACGCTTTTTTTTTTTTGGTTTCCTTCATTTGTTTTCTGTCGATCACACCTGGACCTACCGGGGACCAACGGCTTTACTTCCCTTCCAGGCCTGCTGGGGTGAGAGCTGGGTCTGGCGAAGTCGAATCGCAGCCAGCTTCAGACACTATCTAAGACGCATTGCAGCAAGCTTTATTCTGTTCGAACGGTTGTCAAATTGATAAACAAAGCAAATGTGTGCAAGATTGTGTGTGACTCTCTTGTCGGTCGCTTTTGACACCGGAAAACCCCACACCCGACTTTCGATTTTACTCTCGTTCTGAACAGTAAAAAATGGTTCGATTTTGACAGTTCAAATTGGTTCGAAATCCATTACGAGTTCGCCAGACCCAGGGTGAGAGGTAATCACGCTTACCACTACACCATCAGCACCGCTGTGCCGTGCTTTCGCTAGTTGTGTGCTGGCGTTCCGCCTCCCGGACGAAAGACCCTTGTCAAATATTGTCATCTCGTGCACGAAACACTTATGAATTTTAGCCATAAGAAATGAGTGTGAATTTAATTGATTTGCCTTATGAAAAATAATGTTGACAAAAAAATAATAAATCGGAGCAGACTGGAACCGGAAAATTGACGTTGATGTTGACCACTCGTCTTTCAACGCTTGGGAAAATGAAATGGTTATAGGCGTATAAGAGCTACCTCATGTTACCCGAACATCATTCATAAATCACGCTTATGAAATTCACATATGTTGAAATTCTTAGCTCTATTTGCCTCAGCGTGTAAGTGTGTTGCGGCTGTGTTTCAGAAATGCAATCGAAGTGTGCCGTGACGGCTATTAGAGGGGTTTGTTTTCGGTCGCTGGAGTTGTCGCTTCTGATTTTGGTGTTGATCGCGATTCGACCGGTGAGGAGCTGGCGCTGCGCCTTACAGACTGCGTATTGGCCAACTAAAGCCGTTGTGTTGCGAGTGATTGGTGATGGGAAGTGCACGCAGCCCAAGGGGTAAGTTACTCAGCACATTGTGCCGAAATTAGGTTTGGCACACCATCGGCACAACCTCGTGGGCATTGGATTGTTGTCAATAAAATGACAGCACTGCTGGACAACTATCATTGAAATTGTTTACAACATAACGTGTTGGGTGACTGTTTATTCAGAAACATCCCCTATTTAAATATACCAGAGTAAGTCAGACTAGCAGTTCATAATCACCTGAACAACTTTGCTGAAAACAGTAACCTTCTATATGGCAAGGATCTCGATATACATATTATACAGGAAGTTCAAGTGCACACTAGCGCCGCGTAGTGATTAAATTCTGACCTATTGTCCACCAACCATAAAGCCACTAAACAGCTTTTTTTCCTTGATTTGTTTCCCCTTGTTTTCCGTACTGAGCACAATGCTACCGACGCCAGGGAGGCTTCTCCCACATCTGGACCCTACCTATCGACCCATCAACTCATGAACCAGGGACCAACGGCTTTACTTCCCTCAGAACATCCCGCCGGCGCCGACTGAGATTGAACCCAGGCCTGCTGGGGTGAGACGTTATCACGCTTACCACTAAAATTTAATTGATTTGCCGTCTTCGACAATGTTATTCAGTATAGTTTCCTCAGTCAATGTCGCAGGCTTGGGCAAACTTGAGCAATGTGGGAATTCTTGACAGGCAAATGACAAGTTTTAACTTTACCACATACCGAAATCGAAAATCTTAGCCAAATTTAAAGCCAACCTAAACACTTTGCCAAAGCAGCCACCTGATGGTTGCCACAAACCCGGAATGGCGATACGAATAAAGACTCAACTCGGTCACGGTTAGAAGTAGAATGAGTAGTAGTAAAATAACTTTTATGTCCATTCATTAACGTGGTACTTTTGTTAATACATTTCAATTGATTTAGCCTGAAGGGCTCTTCATCAATGATTAATGGTTTGGTATATTGCTGTTCGTCAGTTAGGGTTTCCTCAACCAACTCCAAGTTTCTTTACTTTCTCCATACATTTCCCATGCAAACTTTCTAGTTCTCCGCAAATCCATGTCATAACTAAATTTGTTCAAATTTCAGGACCACAATACATATTGAAAGAGCAGTGGGGGAGACAAGGGGGTTGTGATTTGCCATACAAACTATACCCACCCTAATGTATTTGTTTAGAAGAGAAGGGTCTTTTCACAGATTTATATTGACTTGCGATGAGTTTTATCCAAATCGGAGAGGCTCGTTTGTGTACCCATTTTCCAGAAATTTCTCAATAATAATGCAAGTAATTTGCACGATCCCGTAATGATGAAAAATAGCGATTTGAAGTGTCCTCATTATTTATCTTCTTTCACTCAATGTAGAACGTATTGAGTTGTTAGATTCGCGGACAACAATCTTGCTGATTTGAATTATGAATTTGACCGCCAAACATCAAACCCACACCGGTTGAATAATGACCTCAGAACCCCGTCATGCCGGATTAGGACGTCTCAACAGCCTTGCAAAACTGACATTAATTATTTTCGGTTAATTAAATTATTCCTGCTCATTTCCGTGCCGCTTGCCAGCTACCATTAATCAGATTTTCCGGTTGGAGCGTACAAAAAACAGCGCCTTCCATTGCGGCACCTTCACTAAGGCTTTGCCTCACCTCGAATGGCTTAAAACAACTGTGAAGGTAGTTATCATCATCGTCGCTTGGCGTCATC